TAATCATGGATATTATCATCTTCATTATTTTAATTTTAGAGAAATACATGAAACAGTTTCATTAAAATTTCATTAAGTAGTATATGAAATAATTTCATAACCACATATGAAACAACTTCATCAAAAAAAGTATTATATGAAACAATTTCACAAGATTAACAATTTCATGAAAAAATTTAATAAGATTAACGATCGATGAGAGTAGTTTTTACGGTTTTTACAAATTGGAGCGGTTTTCATATGATCGTTCCTATATATATATATATATATATATATATCCAAGAGTAGAAGTGAGAGCATCATTAATTCACCAACCTGAGAGAGAATAACCCCATCTTCTCCGACTCCTACATATTAAGTTATTCTAAAAACCTAAAGGTATATAGATTAACTAATCATTAGTTGCTGTCATTTTCTATGGGATTTTAAGCTAGGCTCCATAAGAATATGGGTTGTCTTGGAAAGGAACCCCGTGTTGAAATTTAACCGGATTTCTTCTACAATCGTGTGAATCACTTTCCAAATTCGATATTTCGACCGTATATGCCTGGTATCACGAAATCCGAATTGGGATAATTGTAAAAGCAACAATCTTGATTTTTGGCAGAAATCAAGATCAAAACTAGAGAAAAATATAGAGTGTCTTCTAAGTTCGTGTGTTTCCCCAAAAACTGATAATCCGAAATTAAAACTCAAAAAAAAAAAACTGTGAAAACGGGAGTTACAAAGTTATAGGATTCACAATCATACCACAGAAAATCAAGAATTTTCCATTATAAACCCTATACTTATATAATTTCCGTTTTGCGTTCAGGGGGCGTTGCCCCCTAAATATTACCGGGACTGACTTAGACTAATACAAGCGTGCACTCCACACTCTCCATACATGTTTTAGAACAAAGTTCAATCCCTTTGAAACACACGTACAAAATCCATTACACTAAACGTAACCGGTGACACTAAAATCACCAACACCCCGTACCTCCCAACTGATATCGTTTTCCCACACATATCTTCTAATTGTGTATTTGTTTAATGATACACAAATCATATATATATATATATATATATATATATATATATATATATATAAACAAATGGAATCTATTGTACTTGCAGTCCTCTCTTACATAACTCCAAACTATGACATATAATCCCATATCATTAATTAAACTCAAACCAACTCTACTTACCAAATCGATCCTCAACTTTGTTTACAAGATCTCATGGGAGATATTTCAAAAAAACTTGAGGCTGCCAGCTCTGGTAAATTAATGGTTAATTTAGGGCTTAATGAGAGTAACAAAAACTAACCAGGGACAATTTAATTAATCATGTTGTTAACTAATTATTAGTCTATCGTGCTAGCTATGGCCTATGGTATCCATCAATAGATACCCAAGAATTAAGGGTAGGGTTATTGTTAAACACCCCTCCTGCCTATAAACAAGGAACAGTTCCTCCCTTAATTTCATGACTTTGACGAGTCCCATATATACTTGTCCTTCAATTCCTGGAATCTATTAATCCAATATGACCATTTCTCTTGAAAAATTGTGATATAAAAGAAGCAAAATTGGTCCTGGCGTCTGAAACTTTCTACAGAAACATGTTGAGAACTAGCACGACTGTGCCCTTATATACCCCTAGTGGTTTCAACCCTTTAATATTTGGGAGATTAACATTGTTGGAAGATTACTTCGGTAGCACCTTAATTCAAATTTTAGACTCAGAAAGTGATTTCGTAAGCCATTTTGGTTTTTTTTCCTTTCTTTTCTGTTAATCAAGATCCTCCTTGTGCTTTTCGTTGATTGTTTATTCATCTTAATTGTTCGATCTAAGCTTGTTTCGTATGGTAACATTTGGTATGCAAACATGATTGGACATGACTAAACATGACAGGACTGGACAAGACAAGAGGGTAAGACTAGACAGTACTGGACAAGATATATGTTTGTCTGGTGTTTGGTACAACTAGGACATATGACAGGACTAGACAAATTGTCCCACAAAGTTATTTTATAATTTTATATATCATACAATAGTTATAATTCACAAGTAAAGATAATAATTTAATTTATAAACATTTTTACACAACTTCATATACATAAATATAAAATAGTACAAAATTTAAATAAATATTTTTTATATAATTGATGGTAGTTTGAAAAAACCCGATTTATACAAAAGAGAAATTATGTTTTATTCAGTTTGGAAGATCCTTATCAATTGGTGAAGACATGATGAAGATTGTTGTAACACCAATGGTTGTGGAGGTAGAAACATTGGTAATTGATGGACAATGGTGGTTGTAGAGGATGTGAAGATGGTGGATAGTGCTGGTGGTGACGGTCGACGGTGGTGGAGGAGGTAGTTGTACCCTATGTGGTGGAGGTACGTGTGATGATGAGCAATGTGTGTGGTTATGGTGGAGGTGGTGGACGCCGATGATCTAGTGGTGGTGGAGATGGACAGTGGTGGTTGTAGAGGACGTGAATATGGTAGATAATGGTAGTGGTAGCTGGTGGTAGTGGTGGGAAGTGGTACTGGTAGTCGACAGTGGAGGTGACACATGGTGGTGGCGATGAACGGTGTTGATCAATGGCCGATGATGGTTGTGGAGGTGGTGGAGGAGGTTGTAGTAGAATAGAAGGTGGAGTGGGCCAACAGTGGTAGAATGAACGATGGTGGTCGGTGGGTGACGATGGCTGTGGAGGTGGTGGAGATGGTTGAGAAGGTGAAGATGGCCAACAGTGGAAGTGGCGATGGACGTTGGTTGGTGGCCATTTGTGGTTGTGGAGGTGGTGATGTACGGTGGTTGTGGAGGAGGTGGGGTGGCTACCGATAGTGGCGACGGCCGCAATAGTAGTGGTGACCACGAAAACAAATACCATGTTAAAGTTATTTATCAAACGAAAGTTAATTTATAATATTTTAATTTCTTTCTTATTTTTGTCCTATCTTGTTCCACCTATTTTGGTGAAACAAAAAAAAAAAAACTTTTTTTGTCCTACGCTGTCATACCTTATCCAGTTTTCGTCCATGTTCTATATCATACCGAACGTAAGACAATGAATTCTTATCCTGCCCAATATCATACCAAATATGAAACTGTGAATTTTGTTCCGTACTCTGTTGTTCCATCCATGTAATAAACACAACCTATGGAACAATGTTGGTAAAAATCACACATTTATCATTATTCTTGATTAAAGTAACAAAGTGATCCCGATACCTTCCTGTTAAAATGCTATCATCATAACTAAATGGTAGTAAAAATTCTCTCATATGGGACTAGCTGTGGTCTAGCGTAATGGTTAATTAGGACTAGCTGTGGTCTAGCGTAATGGTTAATTAGGACTAGCTGTGGTCTAGCGTAATGGTTAATTAGGACTAGYTGTGGTCTAGCGTAATGGTTAATTAGGACTAGCTGTGGTGTAGGGGTATCATTATGAGCATTAAAATATTACTACTATTTAATTTACAACTACCCTACCCTCGGACGACTATGTATGCTCAACTTAATAATTTGTAGTACGTAGTCTTCATGCTAGTGATAGAAAGCTATGACCAGAAGCTCCAAAATGGTACATACAACACAACCTAACAAAATGCAATGGTCACTAATTAAGATATATATAATAGTTAATCAGGCTTTAAGTCATACATGGATTAACAATTGTATCTCCTAGATGATAGCATAATATTAATTAAGTGTTTGTATGGATTTAGATAACATAACAAATTTTATTGACAAAGTTGGATAACGTAATAAGATATAAAAACTAATCGTCATCTTATTAGTTTTTTTTTTATAAGACACTTTTAAAAAATGTCTTATATAACAAGTTTAATTAAAGACCTATAGAATACTTTTTAAAAACCTTGTTGTACATATAGTCTTCATAGTGAGTTTTTGTCCCACATAAAAAGAATAGTGAAATTTTACTTGTATTTGTAAGCTATATATATGAATTTTAGGCATATTACTTGTCCCATATTGAGAGAGTGATAAATTTTCTTTAGCTTATAATCTCTAAACCACTTATAGAGTTGTTTAAGCGATAAGGAGGCAAAAGGGGATTTGGTTTTGTTGTGTGAATTTTACACATATATTAAACAATTAAAAGATAGCACCACCACTAACATGTTGCTATTTCATCTCTCTCAATCCTATTCCTCTCTTCATAGAAATTTTTGCAGAGTGTTCACGGAAAAACATATCTAGTTGTTGATTTTAGTGCACTATTTCTCCTTCTATTACTCTCTTTTCGAACAAACTTATGATATTATTAGTAATCATCATGTATAGCGTTCACAACACTAAGGGGGCGTATTAGCCTTTAACCCAAACAACCTTGATAGTGTGGAAGCTAATAATATCCTATTTCTCCTTATATTACTATCTTTTCTAACAATCTTAGGATATTTAGTAATCATCATGGATAGCGTTCATAACACCATGAATTGTTTGGAAACGATCTAATCAAACTTGATCAGTTTGATGGTATAAAATTTATGCGTTGGAAAGAGAAGATGAAGTTTTTTTTTCTCACTACCTTTAAAGTCATATACATCTTGGATCCTAATTTGGAAGATTTTCCACCTTCAACAAGTAAATATACCATGAGAGAGGCATTGAAAGAAAGAAGCATGGAAAGGATAAATTGCTTTGTAGGGGATACATTTAAACTCACTTTCGTATCGACTTTATGATATCTACACACCAATTCAGTCTGGTAAAGAAATATGAAGTTCTTTGGAGTTCAAATACAACACGGAGAAGCAAGGGGGAAAATGAGTTAATGTTTAAGTTTTTTGAATTCTCTATGCTTGATAATGTTTCTATTCTAGATCAAGTCCACGTGTTTATAATCCTGATTTCTAAGTTTAAGGATTTGAAGATATCAATTTTTGACATATTGATAGCTGGAGGAATCATTGCCAAGCTACCATCTTTTTGGAAAGATTATCGGAAGATGTCACTTTGGAACAAATTCAGAAACACCTACAGATTGAAGAAGAAACACGTCTTCATGAGAAAGATCTCAATGTTTCTTCAAATTCCAAAGTGCACTATGTAACTTAGAAAAATCTGAAGAGAAAGACCTATGAACTGAGTGCATCAAATTTGGAGAACAAGAAAAGGAAGATGGATTTTCCGAAAATCGTGTGTCACAAGTGTGGAAAGAAAAGACACATACGATGATTTTGCCGAAATGTCAAGAAGGAGCAAACTCAACAAGGAAATGAAGCGGAGAGGTAGTGGAAGTGCAAGTTTGGTTGAAAACAATACTAACAAAAGCATTTCTATGGTTTCGGATTTGCAATATTGGTATGATACAAGAAGTTGATATGATTGGTGGTATGACTTCAAGGATTACACGGAGACTTCAAATAGTCATGAAGTCTTGATAGCTAATTTCTTCTCATCCTTTAACTAGCACTCATCTCATCAAAGTGTTACTAGTACCGTTCTCCCAAGGAACTGGTACATATGCCCACAAAAAAATGTTAGACATGCTCGTAGCTAGCTGATCGTGTAATTATGATCACTTATGGCCGACAATGGTTGGATATGAAATGAGTTGATTGTCTAGTTGCTAGATTACAGTTTGTCATAAGGCATAGAGACTGTCATAGATTATGATTTTCTTTTGAGTAAACATAAGTTTCCATACCAGCTTAAGTCAATAATATTGTAGTAGTGTTTTGATATTTGCCTTTTGATCGATCACTTGGACATAGTTGAGTGTCACAAATGTTTTTTAAACTTACATGGCGAGATCAATTAATCAGTCCTATGGGAAGTCGTGCTTTATGTCTATATAGTTTTTACTAACTTCTATGATTACAATGAATTCAACCAATGACTAATATATATATATATATATATATATATATATATCTCAACCATATAATTAAGAATAAAGTGTACTATATGTAAGGACAAGATCAAAGTTTGATGGACAAATGGGATTAATCCAGGCCAAGCAAAGTAGCTAGAATATATGGTGAAACTAGTTAACATATGTATATGCATCTGTTTCAAATTAAGTTATGAACAGCCAAAAGTCCAGAGATGATGCAACCAAAAAGCCACTGGTCTCCTCCCCATCCAAACCCTACACTACTTGATGGAACCAGGTGTTTGAAATACCCAATGGTACTACTGCCATAATAATTAATTTGACAATAAGAAACACAAAATGTAGAAAACCGTTAAATTAAAGCATATACAAGATATATAATTCATCGTAAAACCATAATCAATGTTAAAAATCGCAATTACAATGCTAATACATTGATCTTACAACCAGAACTTAATATATCACCTCTTAAATGTGTATCCAGGAGTGTTGGGCATTCTCTAACTTGAACCTGTTTGATGATGAAAACCAATTACTAAAAGAGTAATTAAGCCATCCTTGGGACCATTCAGAAGGGATTAAAAGATTAAAGAATGAAGGTGGAATCATGTCTCTAGCTATTTATAGACTTCCATATATAGAAAGAACGTAATTTACTAATTCATATATATATATGTTCATAAACATGTAGGCAGGCTGTGCTGATATATATGACGATATATAGTCCAGTAGTGACCGTACGTGACGCTACCTTCTTAACTTAAAAAACAAAAAAAATCCACATCAATGTAGAGGCAGAGGCAGAGGCAGAGGCAGAGAGTGTATCCATCATATGCTACAGTGGAATCATGTGTACATAAATTATATATTGCTACTTTCAGGAATGCTAATTTCTAGTATTCGGTTTTGTGTAGAGTAGGAGTTGATGGATGCTTTCAACATTAATAATTACTACTTTTTCAACATTAAGGCCAAGATTGTGAACCCAAATTTTGATGCCATCTTGCTCATCTTGTTAGTGTTTTATGCGGACTTTTTGATCACAATTAATGACAATTGAACATATCCTTGAGCGGCTCATGACTAATTTAAGTCTATAAGTCCATTATCCATACATAAAATTATTTTATGAAATATAAACATCACCTACAACAATAGTGCATTCAATTCCATTCGTGCGTGCCATGTTGATGCAGTGTTGGATGTACATATATACCCATCAATAGTTACCAATATGCATGATCGATAATCAGCTAGCTGTGAGGTATGGGGGTCCTTTCAAGAACACCCCATATACATACACATATATATTCCTGCTGGGGACCCCTCTACAAAAATCCCCAAGAAAATGACATAAAGTTTGGAAAATAAATAATTAAAGCAGAGATAGAGGAGTGGGATAAGATATGAGGTTGGTGAATGATTCTCGCATTTCTATCCTTCTTCCATGTGCAAATGCTTTATTAAAATCACATGAATTCAATCAAAGAATGGTTGTCACAAAAATCCAACCTTCTATTCCGCCTCTCTAACATGCTCTTTCTCTCTCTCTCTCTATATATATATATATATAAATTCATATGACTAATTTGTAACCTCAGTTCACATATAAAAAAATGTATCTTGAAATAATTTTTTATGGATTTTTTCATTAGATTCCCATTTGAATCTTTCCTTTTTTACGATATTTAACATTTTTATTTGAACCGGTCTCTCTCTCCACACACACACACACACACACATATATATATATATATACACACACACACATATAGACAGAGAGAGAGAGAATTGAAGGGGGGCTGGTTTTCGTTAAGACCGCCTAGTTTCCTTGAAACTCGTGAAACCACTGTGAAGGTTTAAATTGTTATCCCTGCGAATGTTTGGTGTTTTTCGATGATGGTTCCGGTGTGTTTTTCATGTGAAGAATTTTCTATCGTACAAAAATTCGATGTTTTTTTGGATGCTAGATAGAGAACTCATCAAATGGCTCTAAAGTGATCTTATGAAACATTAGTTGTCTC